AAATGCAGAGGCCTGGAAGTGAATTATACACATTGGAGACATCTCTCTCTCTCTCATACACACACACACACATACACACACGTATATATGTGGAAGATATACTTTGGAAAATAATTTGAAAGAGCTCTAAGATAATATTGTTTCCTACTCCATATTAAAAGTTTCCTTTAATATATTTAAGGAAATATTGTTTCCGTTAAGTTAAAATGTGGCCAAATATCAAAGGGCAACCCACTGCCACAACAGTTGTCTTCAGTGAAGTTGATGTCTATGCCCACATCCTGCCAGTTAAAATCCTACAAAGAGTGAATGCTCTTAGAGATGTAACTTGCTGGCAACAAAAACATGCCTTTGTTGCATATTATAATAACCCAAATATGGTTTGTTTGTTGTTGTTTTTTTTTTTTTTCAGTAACCTGCAGGGAAAATTGTATATTGGACGACACAAATTAATCTGATCTACCCAGGGGAAATGTGACCAGTACAGAGATCTATTGTGGTAGTTTATATGCCTGTTAATTTTCTCTTGGCACTGTGCAATTTGGTCTTCCAACTGCTTAGCCAAATAGTGGTTAAAAGAACATGGAATAAGTCATAACTCACTCAGTTATGCTAGAAGTGATTTTGCCTTCTCTGCACCCTGACCATGTTAGAGCCGAGCATACTGGTGTCCTGGAATTTGGTGTCCTGACCGGGGGCATAAACTAAAGTCAGAGGGCCTGGTTGCAAATTCTGACTGTTGCTTACCAGCTGGGTGGCCTCAAGCACATTATTTAAACTTACTTAGCTTGTGCAGCTCTAAAGCAAATATCTTGCAGGAGTCAAGCATAAGTCATCCCAAGCACTACCTGATATATAGTAGTATCTGCCATTTTCATGAATACAGCAATGAATTAGCACAGTTAGAAAGGACGCAGAGACTCTCCCGTATATGAGTCATAAGGAAAGACAGGTGACTGTGAAATTGCTCCCAGTCCTTCTCTAAGGGCATTAGTTTACTGTTTGTTTGTTTTTTTTTTTAAAACTTACCTGTTCAAGGCCATGGTCAGTATCAGCGTCACTGGTCCCATGTGAGTCTTTAGAGCAGTCACAAGTAACTTGTCTGTTTGTCTCAGTGGAGTTTGTGATGATAGATGTGCTCTTAAAGGTGCAATTTATTCTACCTCACAACATTCCATGCTGAGTCTTGGAGATGCAGCAATTACTAATCACCACAACACCCTACAGCAGGTTTCCACTTAATGCACTTGTTTTCTGGAGCTACGAGGCAGAAGAGTCAGATGTGCAACATTTTTTTTTTTTTTAAAAGGGGCTTCAATGGCACAAGGAAATCAAGATGCAGCACTGTGAAGCTATTTGCCCAAGTTAGATCCCCAGCCAGGGAGGTGACCCACACGGCACAGCAGACCTCACCTGTCCAGCCCAGGGCTCCCCTCAGCAGTGTTTTCTAGTACATCTGCCTGTTATGCTCCCCACACTCTGTCTCTGGTGAATCCTCTCACTGCACCTCTCTGGCCTACATACACCCTTGTATGCATAAATACGCTCTTGTATGCATAAATAAATGTTTAAAAAACAAAGAGGCATAACACCTACCTGGAGATAATACTCGAGTCACACAAAATACTCAATCCAAAAGCAGGCAGAAAATCTATGAAACGAGATAACTGAACTTACAGGTGTATCTTGTTTAGCATAATGGGCAGTCTTAGTGACAGCAAAGGCCTGATTTCTATCAAGGTAAATTATTTGAGTTAGAAGCAGCACTTGAGTTATGTCTACAGTTTTGAAAGCACAAAGCACCGCAGGGCCTAAATGTTTGACGATGGAGCTTTCTTAAACTTAAAAGCGACACGCATGGAGCAGGGTGAGGCATAGTTAGGGGCCGCCAGCTCCGGTCCCGTCTCATCAGCACACGGGAGTTAGAGTGTAAAAGAGCACGCTGTAAGTGGGACATATTTAACACTCCCTTCCCAGGAAGGATATAGTGTGCAATGTATGCAAGCACCTCCCTTTACTTGATAATAGTAAAAACTCCTATCTCCATGGTGCTTTTCCTCCCTTTAATTCATTTCTATAAATGGATAAACCACGACAGTATGTTTACTGTTTGGACCAAGCCCTGAGGACAGAATCCCTGGGAAGGCCAGCAAGTATTAATTGAAAACTCCTGGCCTTCTAAACGCGCCCCCTGCTGGCCATCAGTGGATAGTACACAGGACAGGGTGGGGTTGAAAACCTGAGGTTCTTGTGCCAGGAATGTTCCTTCTTCTCAGGTGTTTACTCCCGGGGTACAGCTGCGAGTCCATCATTCCTCCTCACGAAGAGGTTGGGAGGCAGATATGTCCAGGTTGCTGTCTGAAGGTAAAATAAAGGTCTGAAACGAGAACTGGATTATAGACCTTCTCAAGGGACACCACTCAAATGAATATTTTTTTTAAGATTTATTTTTTTATGCATACAAGAACTGGGGTGCAAGCTAGAGAAGTGCGGGGTGTGTGAGAGGATTCACCAGAGACACAGTGGGGAGCCGAACAGGCGGATCCACTGAAATACACTGCTGAGGGCAGCAGCCGGCAGACAAGAGAGGTCTGCTGGGCCATATGGGTCAGCTCCCTGGCTGGGGATTGAACTTGTGCTGCTGTGACTGCAGATAGCTTTGTAGTGCTGAGACTTAACCCCTTGTTCCACCAGGGAGGCCCAAACTGTTACTCCTTTTTGGCAACACACATCACTGTCTCCAAGCTATTTCTAAACTCAGTGTCTTTCAAGAGAATGAGAAAAATGAGTCAACAGTCATTCCACTGTGAATATCCTCCATTTTGAGTAATCTCAGAAGCTAAGCAGGTTTGGGCCTGGTCAGCTCTTGGATGGAAGAATGAGAAAATGACTGAGAGGGTCTTCTCAGACACTGACTGTAACACCATAGCATCTGCATGTACATTTTTTATATGATGTCCTCCACTAGTGCAGTGTCTGCAACACAATCTGGAGTAAAATTTTTAAAAATTAACTAGCAAAAAATTACTCCTTGAAAAATGTTTTAGAAACAATATAAAATGTGAAAGTATACCACTATTCAACGGAGCCACTTTTGAGCCTGATAGGTACTCATTCAGGGACCAGAACAGATTCTTCCTTATCTGCTAGTCCTGGCAGTGACTCTCTCTGCTCACCCCAAGTTGACCCAAAACAAAACCCAGAAAGAAGCTAGTTCAGAACCCAAAGAGCATTCTTGTTTAACATGGGCTTCTGAGGACCTAGACCTTTGGGGAAATGGGAACGAATGGGAGCATTGGTGACTGCAAATCACATCTGGAAGTGATTCTCCCAGATGAGCAGAAATATCAGTGGGCCCATAGCAAGAACAGTAGAGCTAACAGCGTATGGGGGAGCTTCCTGCCTAAAAAGCACTAGGTAAGGGCTGCAAGCCTGGTATTTCTTGGGGCAAGCAAAAGGTGTCAAAAATACACATCCGTACCCTAGACTTTCTGCCCTGAGGTATTTGAACAATCCATACACAGTGAATGATATGAAAAGCTATTCTGTTCCGCAAGTTAATGTAACTAGAGATAGACTATCAACAAGCTAAGTTTTAAATTTCAGCAATTCCCAAGCTTTCAAGAGAAATTTTTGAACTAGGTCACTTGGTAGATTCCTCTCTTCGATACGTTAGTTAGTCCTTTTGGGGCTTGTGATTGGGTTAAGAGCAGAGCGCCTGGAAAATAAAAACAGGAATTCTGGATCATCAAAAATGGCACAAGTCCTCAGAAATGAAATGTCTTAAATGCAGATTTAGAAAAGCAGGAATGAAATATCTTAAATGCAACTTAGAAATTAGTATCACATCTCTGTAAAGGCAGGAGCCTTGTGTGGTCATGCTGTCCTCAGGATCAAACAGCATCAGCAGTTGTTCACTTAGAAACCTCCTCCAGTTGATAGGGAAGTGTTGACTTGTCCCCATTCAATTTAACCAGACTTCCAGAAAAGACTTGGATTAAGTTCTCTGGAATTTTTCCCAATTATGTCTGTGGGTCACACTGACCAGTTAAGAGCCATAAGCCTCTTTCCCTAAACTGTTCTCTTCCCAAACATACTCCTTTCTCTGGCAAACAAATCTACAGCCTACTGAAAGCAGACTAGAAAGCTTCCTCTACTGTTAATTCTACTTGATTCCAAGGATCCTTACTTCAGAGATTCTTTCCAGTAGTCAACTTATTTAGGATTTTGGCACAGAGAAGTGAATACATGTTGTGATAGACTTACCACATGTATTGATTTGATGAAATTAATGTCTTTACAGTAACTCGCAAAATTGTATCTTTATTAAAATTGTAACTTGGACAAGTGCCAAACTTGTTTTGGAAAATTTTGTTAACCTGAACCTATCACTAGCTTGTTGAATTCAATGAGAAATTTTCATGATACCTATTATCATAGGCATGTGAAAATTTATTTTGGAAAAGGCCAAATTTTGCTATCAAAAATTCAATTACAGGGCCCTCCCTGG